GGGTAGTAGAAAGCAGCTCTAAAGGATGTGTTTGTGCCAACAAGTGTGGCTTGACATCAAGAGAGATCTGCCGAGGAGCTGAGGGGGGAGCGCGGCAGCGCTGGATGAGCTCCGAGCCCGGCGGGGCTGGGGTCTCGCAGCCAGCAGAGCCGAGCTTGGCTGTGCTGCTGGAAAGCTCCAGCAGGGAACACATTGCTCGAGTGCAATCAGGAAAGGTTGGCCTGGCTGCTCTGCCAAAATGAGCTGTCTGTGTCTTCGAGCTCCAGAGAACCATAGAATGGTTTAGATTGGGAGGGACATTAAAGACCATCTCGTTCACACCACAGAAGGTGGGAGGTGTGAGAGCCGCAAGCACTGGAACCCATTTGCCCACTATAGGTTTGCCCACTGGTCCTGATTCTCTTGCTCCATGCCCCAGAGCTCCCAGTGCTGCCCACTGCACTGCTGGGATCCAGCAGACAGGACCTTCTATGCTAGCCCCTACTCCTCCAAATCCACTGCAAAGCAGCACCAGAGCTGACAGGAGCTGAAAAACACAGGCAGCTGTGTAACACTGCCTTCACTTAAATATTAATAGGGGATGCTGAATAATTCCACCTTTAGACATCGCTGGAAGGCTGGCTGATAAGGAGTGTGTGATAGGAGCTGCTGCACCTACCTGTCACAGTGCTTAGGTGACTCTACAGCTCAGTCAAAGGGGAATTGAAACCACAAATTAATCTGAGAGCACTCAGCCCCTGTGGTTTTGGAATTAAATGCTTGCTCTAAGTATAAATAAAGGCTGATGGACACGCTGCCTAAAATATCTGGGAGAGAGATGTAGCACAGGCAGGGTGAGAGGCACCTGGCCTCAGGTGAAGGCTCTGGCTCAGACAGAAAATGCAGGGAAGCATGTCCAGTCTTCCCAAGGGTTTGTAGTTGTTCCTGATGATTTCTGGGTGGGGACATCTGTGAAAATGCAGGGAAGCATGTCCAGTCTTCCCAAGGCTTTGTAGTTGTTCCTGATGATTTCTGGGTGGGGACATCTGTGAAAAGGTCCCCAAAGGGGCTTAGAAATCAGAAAGGAGAGCTCCAGGGAAGGCTGCACTCCAAAGCTGATATTTTTCTTCTTCTGGGCTTATTCCCACCTGAGAGTGGCCCAGTGTCACCTGGTCCGTACATGAGAGAAGAAAGCTCAGCAGTGGGTGGATGGTGGTGGCCAGATAGGGTGGGACAGGACAGGGTGCTCTGCCAGCAAACCACTCAGCATCCCAGCTCTCCTGCTTTGGCACACCCCTGCCCTCCCCACGTCCTGCCAGAGCAGGGACATGGCACTGCTGGCAGCTGTGCAGGTGCTCCAGAGGTGACTGGAGCCGGGGGCCTGGGGTTCCTGAGGTGACTGGTGCAGAGAGAAGAGGTGTGAGGATTTCACAGCAAGAGGACTTCACAGAGACTGTCTATTTAAAAAAAAATGTCTCAGGATTGATGAACGTTCCAACAAACATGATTGGGATAGGGTCACTGTGAAGAGATGCAGTAACAACATGGAGAGACCCCAGTTGTGCTGGAACCAATGATCTTTTCTCCCTGAAATGACACTTCTTCACAGACTTGTGTGTGTGGGGAGGGAGCCAGACAACTCATACCCATGGCATCCAGAGGCAGCTAATAATTCCCTCAGTGGTGGAGTGCAGCGTGTTCCACTAACGTCTGCAGTAACTGGAAATGTACCCATCCAATTTTCTCCTCTCCCCCAGCCACAAAGGGAGACCACTCCAATTATTTTTCAGACAGAATTAAGGCTGATGTTTACCATTATCTCCCTGGTAACCCTCTCCTCATGACTACATTATGCAACATAATTGTAAAGCCGTCTCAGCTCACTGGGGTTGTTATTAAATGTACTATGCTGCTGCTTTTTTTTCCCCCCAAGGTCAAGGTTAGTAATTAGGTGGCTAGTATGCTTGGGACAGAGCCTTGTTAGGTAGGAAAAAAAAATTAGAAGGAATTTAAAGGATGCATCAGGCATTCCCAAGAGATGAAATTTCGTCAGCAGAAGGTAGGCCAGTGAGGGAAGGGAATTAGGGGATGTGAAGTGGTCCAGCATATAGGTCTGTGGACGAAACTTGGGCAGACTCAGGGCGTGAGACGTGTTGGATGAATTTCCACAGGGAACGCAGGAAAGCGAGCGCTGATATTGCAAGCTGAGGTGAGCGTGGCTCCTCTGCGCTGCAGCTTTAATTGGACTGCTGGAACACTAGTGAATTGAGCTGTTTGTTTTTCTTCTGGCTGTTTTTTCTCCAAAGGTCCACAGTGCTTGCACATTAAGTGTCAGCACCTTATTGTGCACGGCAGGGGAGTTGGAACGAGATGGCCCTTTGAGGTCCCTTCCAAGCCAAATCACTCCATGATTCTATGATTCCACTGTCCCCAGGCCATGTATTCTTAGGGATTTGCTTTTCCAATGGGATGGGGCAGCCACTCAGCAGCTCTCGCTGTTTCCCTGGCCCATGTGAACTAGGTGACACCAGACTTCCTCATTAAATCCACCTCCTAATACATTTAATTAGGGAATATTTCTTTATTGCATATTCAACCCTAGAAGGAATTAAGAGCAGAAATAACAATGTTCCATGGGGGAACAAGAAGATAGATGGCTTCCTGGAATGATGTCAGATTTCCTGGCAATATTGCTGGTTAGTGCCAAGGTTATTGAATCTACCTGGTGGTAACATGAAGGAGTGTGTTGACTAGAGCCTGTAATCTAGAAAAATGCATTTAGTTGGGAAACAGCTTGGAAAGGAGCCCAAGATGAAGACCTGCAAGTCTGCAAGTGTCTCTGTGCTCACAAATGTGTAATTATATACATACTACATAGAAATGTGTAAAAAAACCCCAACCCATAAATATATACATATATCCACATATCTGTGTCTATATATATACACAGGAGAGCCTGAGTTACAGTCTCTGGTTGTCTATGACTCCTTCTGAAATTTTCCCTGAGGGAATTGCATTCCCAAGTCACCGTTTATTTTCTAAACTGGAAGTATTTGTGGGTCTCTCCCTTGACATGAATGGGTTGGGATGAGATGTTTAATGCCAAAGTCAAAACTCTCCCCAGTGCCCTACTGGGGTCATTCCCATGCACCAGCATAGGAGAGAGTATTTACCATGGAAAAAGAGGGAATTACTTGAAAGGACTGTACTGTAGAGCAGTAGCCTTATGAAAACCATGACAGAGTAATTGGATCTGGCTTGCGTGCAAGGCAGCAAGAGAAATCAATAAAAGAAGAGGGAGGAAATGGGGAGGGGGACCTTTCACGTTTTTGCAGTGAAATATCCCTTCATCTGACTGCCTGTAACTAACTTTTCATCATCCCTGATGTGATCTGTAGTTGAAGATTTCTCTGGGCTATAACCACAGTTGCTGGGCTGGGTGGTTTTATTTCTCTCATCTTTGCTGCTTGTGGGAGAAAATAAGGCAAAGCAAAGCAAAACAAAACAAAACTTTGTAACTGCCCAGACCTCTGTGTGCACCAGGATCCTTATCTAACGTCTGGACCTCACAGTCCCAGGGCAAACCTCACCCTGAGTGTGGTTTTTATTGTTCTGGTTTGTTGTCTTCCAGTTCAAAGGAAGGGTTGAGCCCCAAAAAGAGAAGTGTGTCCTTGGTCAGAAGTCTGTAAGTTCTCTGAGTCACACTTCACCAAAAGCCTCCAAAGTATGATCAAGTCAGTCATGTGGTCATCACTCAGTGACAGCTCCTTATCCTCTCTATGCACCTCTGTCCTCAGGGAGGTTAGAAAATGTGCTAATTAGAAGAATGGTGAGGAGGAATTGATATGAAAAAAAACCCCAATAAAATCAAAGCAGCACTTGTGGAGAGCACACAGACTAGAATGGAACTTACTGAAACAAAATTCCCAAGTTCATGAAAAGGGAATAATTTTTTTTTTTTTTTTTTTTTTTTTTTGTCTTTGAATTATGTAGTGCCCTTCATGCCATTAATATGACACTGTGGTGACACGAGTAACAATTGATACTCATTATACTCATCATATATTGATAGCATTGGTTCTCCAGTGGCACAGTCCCACCTCCTTGGCAGCAGCTGGTTTATACAGAATCATGGAATCACAGAACAGTTTGGCCTGGAAGGGACCTTAGAGATCCCCCAGTTCCAGCCTCCAAATTCCTCCCCAAATATTCTGTTCTTTAAGAGAGATCAAGGTTCTCCTTCTGTGGTGTCAAATTTAGGTTCAGAAAACCCAAACCAACCCAAAATTCCATTACTTCAGAGCCTCATCTCAGGGGCTGGCAGGTCAAGGCTTCAGTCCAGTGTGTGGTGAGAAAGAGGAGGAGTCTTGCAAAAAGGTGGATTGGAGTGGAGCAGTAATTCTATCACCAAATGGTGGCTCAGCAGCAGCAGACAGCCTGAATTACAGAAGTCCTGATTCCTTTTTGCCACCTTTCCTGTTAATTGTTCACCTTTAGTCACAGTCTTGACTTTTTCCTCCCACAGAAGCATTAACAGAAAATCTAGGCCACCGTCACTGAGATTTAATTCTTCCATCTATGCAGAGACTTCAATCTTCATAAACTGCATTTTTAGGCAACCAGCATTACTGGCTATTGAGGGCAGCAAAGCTAATCTTACTGAACACAGAATTTTCTAAATGAGGGTGACCTGAAATAGCTCAATAGTATCCATAAGCTATAGAGGGGGATAAAGCTGGGATACACCAAAGGAATAAAGGTAGGAACAACCTGAGGATTGGCCTTCCAAAACCAAGCTGAAAATACTCCCTGAGTGCAAGAGAGGATGTTTCTTTGGAAAAGACACATTGAACTATTCCTTTAGATTACACCATTCACAGAAATGATGCAGCTTTACATTATATTCTTATTGAGAAACATCCAGAGAAGTCCAGCTGACCTACTCATGGCACATTATTCCAAGACCCAAATGCTAAATGTAGTCTCTAACAGCACATTTGACCCCAGCCATGCTCCAATAATTAGTCTATAGCGTGATCTTTATTAATAAAATTAATTGAAACCAAAACTCATCCCTCAGGATTTCCAATCAATGAACACACATGCACACACAAAAAGCCACATTAAAGAGCACTGGAAAATGCAGCTTCACAAAGAAAGAAACAATGGAAAGAAAAGCCCTCACTAAAAATAGTGCTGGTCTTTTTGTGCCTGGGCAGGAAATGTCGGCACCACCAATTCCAGCGCTGAATAACGCTTTGTGTTTGGGAACGTTATTCAGCAGGAGGCAAAAGTAAATCAACAGCCAATTCTGCTGAGGAAAGTAAACATTTGCAGATGGGAAAATTGAGGCAAAGTGGTATTAAGGGACTTGCTCAAGGTGAAGAAAAAGAAGCCCTTCTTGATTGCTGGTCATCTGTTCTGCTGGGACAAAAAGTCCTCAGATGGAAAGGCCAAATGTCACTGTCCAGAGCAAGAGTTTATTATATATAAACCAAATAAATGAAAATAGAATTGTCCCAAAAAGGTGTATGGCTTTGTTCCTCAGATGTATTTGAAGATGCAGTTCTTGGTCAGCATTCTGAGGACCTTCTTGCTGAGCTTTTTGCTGCAAGTCCAGCTTTTTTTTTTTCACTTTCCTTTGCTTATGACTTTGCTTGTCATCTCTCCTTCACAGGATTGAGAGAAAACAAGAAATAATCTCAGTTTTAATTGAAATTACTTTAGATGAGGAGACAGATGGTACTTGCAGGCCTATGGAGTTATCCCAGTACTATCATGAGTTCTGTGCTTAAAGATCTGACTTCATCTGGGAAAGTTTATTCTTGATCTGACTGAAAAATTCAAACACATACAAATTGTCCTCTTCAGCTTCGATATTGCACATTATTCCACTGTTTTTATGCAGAAAAGCTTTTCTGCAGGTGAAGGGACTGATCTGGCAATGCAGGGAATGTTCCTGGTCTGTCCATCAGTGCACATGCTCAACTATGAATATGAAAAACATCTCATTATCTGCCAGACCTGAGGTGGTTTGAGCAAAGCAAGGAATTGTAAAACCTTAAAAATTATTTTTTCTCAATAATCGCTGGCCACCGTGTATTGTAAGTCCTCATTTTGATGTTGCTTTTCTAAAGAATTAAGTAATTCCTTATGTGCCAATGTTGATGCTTTTGTCCCTCACCAAAACTTTTGAACTCTTTTAGATAAACAAAGGCATAGAGGTCTTAAATAAATTAATTTCCTGTGAATTTTGGGAAAATAAATAGAAGAGGGGCAGCAGGCCAGCACGTCTGCAGTGTGTGCACAGCTTCTGAGTTCAGAACATTTACTGGCATTACGGAATTGCTCACATTATTCCATCAGGAGTTTATCAGAATATGAGTACCCCAGTCATCAGGAAAATTTTGCCTTCTATGTTTTAAGAGTTTATATTTTATCAAACCTTTAGACACTGGAGAATCCAAGCTCATAGAAATGTCTTGGGTTTTTTTAAAACATGTTTAATGTCCTACATGTTTTTGAGTTGCTTTTAATTAAATTTCTCATTCTTTTTATAGCCAAGTGAAGTTTCTGGCAGAATTTTTTTTTTTTTTCTCATGAAGTCTTACAATAGTTTAGCTATTCAGTCTTCTGGCAAGATTTACATTTATTTTACTTTGCTGATCACAGGGTAAACATGCAAGAAATTAAATAGTCATAATATAATTTAGTCCTGTCTGTGAAAACCTAGCAAAAGAGCCTTTTCCTTCAACAGAAATAAGAGCGACTGTCCTGTTGTAATAGCTTGAAATACACTGGAGATAATGTGTTTAAAGAATAAGAAAGATGTGTTCTAGTATGCAGTAATAGCTCTAAAGAATTTCAAGAGCTGGGTTCAAAGTCCCTTGAAAGGAATAACAGTCCTTCTGCTGACATTACTAATCTTTGGATCAGGGTCATTAATGTATTGCAGATATTATATCCCCAGCTGCCAAAAAGCGGGGAAAAAGGAGAATGTAGTCATAAAAATAGACATCAAAAATAGTTTTCTTGTGGGAATTAATATAGAAGTGAAATATTGCTGCTACTACTACTCTCCGGGGCTTTATTACAGATATTTCTTTACTTTTTTAAAAGGAATTAACAGGGCAAGCTGTTCATCCCATCCAGAACTCTGCCTCCAGCAAGGGCCAGCGTCTAATGCCACAGAGCCTGGCAAAGGGTCGGATTGCTGCAATAGTTTTCACTCCAGCGCTGTAAATCAGTCCTTTCCGGGATGTGCTGTGCTGATGGAGAGGAGGAAGGGTGGGAGGGAAAATAGAAATATTTAGGCAAGACTTTCCCCATCTTTGGCGTGTCTTGGATTAATTACAGATCGATACTTGGTATTCGCCGGCTTTTATAGCTCATTAGCATCACACGGTGCCCGGGAGTAAATTTGTTACAGAGCTTGCCAAGAATCCGGGGGTATCTGGAAGCAAATGTTCACTCCGGCTATAAATGAGACACAACTGAGCTGACCAGTTTGAACTCTGGGTGGACAAATAATGTTCGGGATATTTACCTGTGGCTCTCCAAGTGCCGCACGAACCCATGGGTGCGTGTGGGCATGTGCATGTTCGTGTCAGAGAGGGAGAGGACGAGGAGAGGGATGGCGAGTGCCGCTCCTGTGGGCAGCTGAGAAGGCGGCACAATCCGGAACCGGGCGCTTATTTTATTCCAGCTCTTGGGATCATTCTCAGGTCGCCCACCTGCCTGCGCACAGAGACAGCGTTAGTAAGGGAATAATAATACCGTGCGAACGCCCCGGCAGCCCCCAGCCCTGGCTCTGGGGAGCCCCGCTCTGTCTCTTTAAGGAACCCAGCGAGTCGTGATGCTGCTGTTTGTATTGCCGAATGCCCAGGAGTGCAGTTAAGAAACGGGCAGCTGTCTCTTTAAGTGTGATTTCCTTCTATTGTATTTGAATCGTGATCAGGAAAAAGGAAATGAAACCAGAGAGCCGGGGCTGAGCCACGGAGTAATAATAATCCCGGGGATGCGGCTGCCGCCGCTCGCAGCGCTGCCGCCGGGGCGCGGAGCGTGTGCGGAGCTGCCCGCGCGGAGCCGCTGAGCGCCGGTGGCGGAGCCGCGGTGGCGGCCGCGGCCGCCGCCCCCCGCCCGCCGCGGGAGCGGCCCCGCCGGCCGGGGCGCGGGGGGAGCGCGGCGGGGATGGGAGGTCAGCGCCGGGGTGGGACGTGCGGGGCCGGGGGGGGCTGTGCGGGGCCGGAGCGCAGCCCCAGCCCCTGTGTCTGTCTCTCTGTCTCGGTGCTGCAGGAGGAAATCCTGTGAATGTCATCGCGGGGCGGCGGGGCAGCGCGGCTGGCGACAAGGCTCCGCGAGCAGACAGCCTCTGCGGGGGCGGCGGGGGCAGAGCCCACCACCGGCACGCCACAAAGGAACCGGCCCTGCCAATGTCATCGGCCATCGAGAGGAAAAGCCTCGATCCTTCCGAGTAAGTGCGCGCTTCTTCTGCCCGGTCCCCCGCTCGCCATCGTCCCCGCTCGCCTCCCGGTGCCACCCGTCCTCCCCGACGGAGCCGCCGCCGGCATTGTGCGCCCGGCAGCCCCGGAGGGCTTCGGCGGCAGCCCCCGCCGCTCCGACCCCCCTTCCCCTGCACAGGACACCGGGCTGCCCCGGCCCCGCAGGGCTGACGGCGTGGGGAAGCTTGGGGAGAGCCCCCCAAGTTGAGGGAAGAGCAGCCGGGAGAAGAGAGGCGCAATTCCCCCCGGGCGGGGCATCTCCCACTCGCTCATCCCACGGCGGGGTGGTGGGGATGCTCGGCGAGAGAGAGAGAGCGTCCCGCTTCCCAAGCTTTCAGGTATTCCATCCCGAGGGACCCTCTCTGCCCCATCCCCGACCTGCCCGACTCGCTGCAGCCGATCAGTGAAAGGTCAGGGTTGTTAGCTGCGGGTGCCCAACTTCCACGTTTTCGTAATGCAACTTCCAAAAGCTCGTAGAAAGCTTTGGTGGGGGCTGGGTGTTCTGCTAAGAGCATGTAGACAGACTTGATGGACGGGATGTAGGAGATGAGAATTTCCCTCTCTGGGCTTCCCACTCAGGGAAGGGACCGGCTTCCGTGTCCAGATCCAGGCTTTCTCCCGGGGGGTGCTCCCGCTGTCCCGTCCCTGCTGCACACCCAGGGATGGTAACTCAGCACAGACCCAGGGCCACTTCAGCCCTGAACGTGCTAATTAACTGCGCTGAGGCTTGTCTGGGATCGCGGTAAAAGAGAAGAAAAAAGAAATAAACTATAAAATCTCCGTTTCTAGATAACGCTTAAAACATCGCTCTCAGTAAATTGAGTCATACGTGGTTTGTTTCCTGTCAGATACTAAAAATGCCATAGCTTGGAGCCCGGAACGAGCACATGGGAACCGCTGCTTTTGGGGATTGAATCACTTCATTCCATGATGTTTTACATGTTACATTTTCTTTTATGCTGTTTTTTAAAGAAACTCTAATCTCAGCTCCTAATGATGTCCAGCTTTCATCTACAAAGTTTTTTTTAATCTTTATTTATTTACCTGCCTTGTGTTCTGGTGGATTAAGTGCTGGTTTAGAAATCCATGGACATCAAAAGCCTAATGTGTTAACCAGGAATGCTGTTCTGCATAAACATCCGTTGGGCTGTTCCAGAGCTTAGGGCTCTCAGAGAAACCTGGCTTGGGATTCCCAAACACCCCTCGGATGAAACATTTTGGGGTACACTCCAAAGTTTCAAATAACAGAAAATGAAGGATAATGATGTGTGCTTCCTTCTACTGGAAAGCTCTCAGAAGTTGTCAGCATGGAGCCCACGTGTTAGGAAAGGGAATATGTGGCCCAAAAGGATAAATTTGGAAAAAAATAGGGCCTAATAATGAGTTCCCCATGATTTTAATGAAAACTCACAGGATGGTGAGCTGGCAGGAGAGGGGTGTTACGACATAGCTTGCAGGGCACAGCAGTTTAAACTTAGAAGGGAGAAACCAGAGCAGAATAAAACCAGATAATATCTCAGAGCTCAGCTTGCCTAAATAAAACTGCAGGATCACTTTCTCAGCCGAGAAGCTTTTGACCAGAGGTCGTTTCTCCCTGCCGAAGAAAGTAATTTTTGCCCAGAAAACTGCTGATCCAGAAAATAAGCAGGAGTAATACAATTTTTTTCCTGTTGCCTGCTGGAAACTGGGAGCAGAGCTTCTTCATCAGTGTAGGTCTCCTCTGCCCCCAGCAGCCCAGGGGAGGACAGACCAATGACAGAAGCAAATTGCTCGGGGACTCTGTGCTGGAGCACTAATCCAATAATATGAAAAAAATTTGGGGTCCACTATACTAGCCACAGGTTTGAAATTAAGCAAGTTCTTAAGGGATGGATCCAGTAGATTTTTTGATTTTCTTTTCAGGCATTTGGGTGAAGCCCAAAACAATACAAAACTGAGTTCAGGCACTGTTCTTTTAATTTTTTTGCTGTTGTGAAATTACCCCAAAAGACACAGAAGTCTTTAAGAAAGTGGCTTTGAAGGAAATTCTCACTTCTTTAACCAGAATTATCCTAGATCTCCAAGCTTTTTAGAAAAAGGAACAAAATAAGGTGCATAAAGAGTCAGTGCTAATATCACAATAAAGATTTTTGCCTCCTTTCACTCATGGATGTGTAAATCCCAGATAATTGAAGTATGTTGGCACAGACCCATCCCAGGGGATTCATGTCCTTGGCTAAGGGAAAAAAGAAGTCCTGCAACAACATGAGGTAAAATGCTGGCTTTATTAAAATCAGCAGTGAGACTTAAACCAGTTGGGTAACAGAATCAGCTGTTGTGTTTATTAATTTCGTGCAGTTCTGAGAAGTGACACCAACAAACTTAGTCTCCAGATTTCCATTTCCCAACGGAAAGTGTAAAATCCCTTGGGTGCCTTTCTTAGTCTTGGTGTAAACAAGCAAAAACAAGGACACCACCCCTGTCCTAACCTGTCCGAGTTTGTGACTTATTTCGCTTTTCCTTCTTCTCGCGTGGATGCTCTTGGAGTGGGTTCCCCTTGTCCAACGTTTGTCTCACTCCCTCAGGGAGCCGGTGGATGAGGTGCTGCAGATCCCCCCGTCGCTGCTGACATGCGGGGGCTGCCAGCAGAACATCGGGGACCGCTATTTCCTGAAGGCCATCGACCAGTACTGGCACGAGGACTGCCTCAGCTGCGACCTGTGCGGCTGCCGGCTCGGAGAGGTGGGCAGGCGCCTCTACTACAAGCTGGGCAGGAAGCTCTGCAGGAGGGACTATCTCAGGTAGGCATCCCACTCCTCAAATCCTTCCTCCCTCCTTCTCATTTTTTGCTGAGTACAGCTGGGAATGAGGAATTCATTTGGAATGGCTCTCAAAGCCTGGTGGTACCTGCAAGCTCAGGTTTGCAGTATGGGCTCCTGTCCTAGAATGCCTGAATCATTTGGGCTGGAAAGGGACCTTACAGCTCCTCTTGTTTCAGCCCCTGCCACGGGCAGAGATACCTTCCACTAGGACAGGTTGCTCCAATTCCCCTCTACCCTGGCCTTCCAGGGATGGGGCATCTGCAGCTTCTTGGGCAACCTGTGCCAGGGCCTCACCTCAGGGAAGAATTCCTTCCCAATATCCCAACTAAACACACACTATCTGTCATTTAAAAGCCATTCCCCTTTGTCCCATCCTCCATCCCCAAAGTCCACCTCCAGCTCTCCTGGAACCCCTTTAAGCACTGTAAGGATCTCTGTAGGATCTCCACAGAGCCTTCTCCAAAGTGCACAGCCCCACTCCATCAGCCTGTCCTCATATTTTTGGGATTCATATGCAGATGCTTTTAGTATTGCTGGGATTCTTCAGTAAATTATAGATAAAACTAGAGATTATCTGCCTTGGTTAGATAAACAACATGAAGTTGTTTATATCTAAATCTTTTAAAGGTTGGGGGGGGTGGGAAGCATTTTTAATGGAAACGAAAGCAGTGCTACACATTGTGGATGAACCAGAATTATTTGATAATGTGAAGAATACAGAAAGAACTCCTAGGACTCAGAGTTGCTGGCATCTGGCATTCAGACCTAACCCCACAGCTCCAGGTGAAGGGTCAATGTGGCATTCTGGCAAGCAGAAATTGGGAAAAGGTGCTGAATTCCACCAATCTCCCACTGAGCTGGCAATGAACTGATTCCCGTAAATGGTTTTAAGGAATTTTCTGCTTCTCCCAGAATTGCCTTGGAACTTAAAGATGTTTACACCCAGGTAAGAGATGAAAGAGCATTTAGGGTTTTGGCATTCTTAAGCCTGGTACTGAATAAGCAAAAATTTGCACATTTTGCAGAATCAGATCCCACAAATACACTTGTTATGGGTGTTTTCATCAGTAACTCCCTGCCTGCCTGTTTTGACAAAAATTTCTAAGTAAAGGATTAATTGGAGACTAAGATATTTCACAAAAATTGATAACAAAGGATCTTTACATTCTCGATCAAAATGTATTGATCTTTGGTGTGCTCATTGTGTTCCATTTCTTCTAAAGGATCCCTAACGCGTCAGGAGGTTTGTGGAACAGAATAATGATATTTGGTATTTTTCCAGCTTTTTTACTGAAGGCTAATTTACCTGCCAATAAAAACAAAACCAAAATTTTGTTTTTATAATAATTAGGACTTCCTAATTATGCTGTCCCTGGGCTTTGCTGATGGAATTTTGCTGAGCAGAAAT